GAACCCAGTAGTAAATAAATAATTGACTTTCAATAAGTATTATACATTAAAGATTTATTGAATAAAAATCATTCATTTCATTTCATGACATATCTGTGGAGAAACGCTGCCGATATTGAATGCCTCTTTGTGTTGCAGAAGTGGACTGTTCGGACTATCTATGGTATGAGGGCAGTTAGTCGATGTTGTGCCAACCCTAGCCAAAGTCGGACGCCATCTTTGCGATTCGTTCGCCAAGCACTCGATCTCAGCGTTTTTGAGAACTTATTTAGCCAGATTTATTTTATTTTGTATTAATTGTAAATATTACATAATTTACAAGTTTCCTAATTTTTTGAAAGCTTCACGACTTCGCTCGTTTATTGTATAGGTGGAATTTATTGCGTCGTGAAAAGTATTTTCAGATTTAACAATTTAATTAGGCATTGCGAATTAGCTGAAAATACGCCACATGCTTTCAATTTCTAAATTACGACATGAATTTATAGATAACCATTTATTTGTTTATAATTATATTAAAGTCAATGAAATTCTCTATATGAATGTGGCTATATTTTTGGTCTAAGTAATCAAGTTTTTATGTAATAACAGCCTAGATTGTAACTAACTAATAGCGATCAATTGCGCAATCCGTGAATTCTTCATCAGGTTTCACTTAATATTATTACTATGTTTTTAAATATAAAACGTTTTATAATATGGATAAATATATCAGATAATTCATTAAGTTTAGGGATATAATGAACAATCACACACTAATCGATCTGATTTTTTACTAAACCCAATCTTTTACAAATAGTCGCTAAAATGGCTTGTACAACACCTCTAAAATATTATTGTAATCATATTTTGATAAAATAATATAAGCAATTTTTTCTTATTTTAATGGCTATGTATAACATTTAAACTATTTGAAGTGCTCCTCTAGAGTAAGTCATAAATTAAGTTTTATTAACGGCGGGACGAACGCGCGATACACTGTCCCGACCTACTGGCAAAGTAAGCAACCAATTTTTTTTACGCAAGCAGGCGAGCGTTAGTACCCAAATGAAGCCCCTCGCTCCTTTGAATTTTGTGTAACAATTCTAATAACTGCCAAGAAATTGTATTCCCGTGTATGTCAACTAGAATTTTTTTGTCCCCAAATGTGTTACGTATTAATTGTTAATGCAAGGATCTGGCCACAGATATACTACATCATCATCATTAGCTTTAAAAGAATAATTGAATGCATCGACATTGCACTCCAAAATATTGCACATAGCTTTATTGGTTGAAGCACCGTCAAAAGTGAGCGACACAACTTCAGTTCCAGAATTTTTAGTAGTGATATACATTGCCGTACCAATAAAGATCTTTGCTGTGCGGTGATTGAGTCAATAAGAAAGTAGCCCACAGGTATTTTCCAGGTGTCATTTACGGCAGTTATCATAAAAGTTAATGCTTCTTTAGCAAGTGGTACATCTTGTGAATCCAAGTCACATCCGATATTGACGTACCCAAAATAATTTTTCCGTTCCATTCGGCCAACTTGCGAATAGCCTTTTCTTTGAATGATAACGCTACATATAAAGGTTTGTAATTATTTAATTTTACCCTTTCTTTAATAGCTTCAAAGGCCTCTGTAGTGAATCCTGGATCACATTGGATACATTGATACCACTTGCATATTGTTTTTGGGTGTGGCAAAATATCTTTTAATTCATTGCGCACATAATCGTATGCTCGCGGTGATAAATAATTTAAAGTGACTGAGATTTTTTTCAATTCCAAATAGTATTTACGCTTATCTTCTCCCATTTCTTCCTGTAAATATTTTTCAATTATTGGATTATTTTTCAGTAAATCTAATATAAGTAAATTTTCTTTTTCTGTTTTTCTTCATTCGAAAAATTTTCTAATCTTAACTTTAAATCCAGATTTTTATTTTTTAAACGTCTTGTCTTTTGACGCAAACAATTTATTTTCAACAGTCGTCGTTTGGAAATTTTTTGCAGTTTTTCTAAATCCTGTTCTAATTTAGATACACGACTAATTAATTATTGCTGACTTGGTGTTGAACTAAATCTAACTGTAGTAGTAAATTATGCACTGGAATCAGATGTTCTGGTTAATGTTGCACTGGATGGTGTAGGTGCAATTGTCGTTATTGCACTGGATGTTGATGCAATATTCTTTCCAAATACACTGAAAGTTGATGCAGTCGCCTGTGTAGATACAGGACTGCTATAGTTCCTGAACAATTTAGTTATTTTATGTTATTTTTGCATCATAGGAAATGGATGAATTAAACGAAAAAAACAATGGGGGAAGTAATAATAAACAATTTTGAATCATAAGGGTGCGATACTTTACGTCAATAGTCAAAATTTAATTTTTGAACAAATTAAAACAGCAGTGAATACCAGCGTCAAATAGTAGCTTAATGCTGCTGTGTTTCGTATAGTGAGTGTAGAGAACCAGAGACCCTTTTTACTGGAAAGGAGGTATTCCATCTTAGTCCTCAAGGCTGACAACGCATCTGCATTTTTGATTCTCAAAAGAGGATAGATATAGATGTCTATGGGCTACAGTAACCACTTACCATCAGGTGGAGTGTGTGCTCGCTTGTCACCCTTTTCCTATAAAAAATATAAACAGGTTTATTGTAAAAAGAACCTTACTGTATAATGTTTGTTAACCCGCAGATTTAGTGCAGGTATAGCACTTAATTTCAGTCTGCGCCATTTGTGTTCAAAATTTATAAAGCAATCATCTTTAAAATGTCTGGAACAAATACGGTGGTGCTTTTTCCACTCCCAATTGCGACGTGCAATAGCGTCGATCCATTTGTGTCTTAAATTGAAGTCCGTAGGAAAACTGTAATTTAACCGTAAAAATATCGATAATTTATGCTAGAGATATATTTTTCCAACACTATTGCCAACATTTTAACTAAACTTTTTAAACAACAAATATTAAATTTTATTACTTCGAAATAGGCAAAATCTTAATTTATTAGAAGATTATACCAATTTAAAGTAAAAATGACAAAAAACGTGAGTTTCTATCAATTGAAAATGCTCGTAAATTGTGTATAAAATGTTGACACAATGACTTACCGGTGAAAGCAAATGTTTTCGGAGTCGTTTTCTTTCCTAGAGGAATGGGATTTACATCCCACTATAATGCAGGACGTTGTCCTTTTTATTATTAATTTTTAGATCCACACTTTCACACTGCGAAAAAATTATAATTTCCAAGCCAAAACTCGATTTTAACACAGTCTGACAACCTGAAGACAAGCGAGCGTATTATACGAACAGTTTGAGATGACTATAGCCATAGGCAAAAAACTTTTTTATTTATTTATTTGATTATTTTGCATAATGTGTGTGTTTTACAGTTGTTATAAAGAAAAAATATAGTACAACATATTAACCATTTCTGGTGTACAAAATGATATAAATTTAAAAACATTAAGTATTATTAACTACAATATAGATTAAAATTACAAAAAAACCATTGATAATAATTAACAAACAAAAAAAAAACATAAAAATAAACTAGAAAGCGACATAATAAAACAAACACATTTACTATTAATTGCACTATCACATTACTAATATTTATATTTTCATGTCACATTATATATTATTATTAAGAATAGTCCAAAATTTAAAGATTTTGTTTTTCCAACAACTCACTAACCAAATAAAAAGATTTATTAAATAGCCACTTTTTCAACTCGTTCCCGAAACTCTTCCTTGGTTGTAGATTTATGTTATCGGGTATAGCGTTAAATACTTTTATACACATTGAATAGCAATTCTTATGATAATTAACCATTTTTGGTATTTTATCAATGACTAATTTATCTGGATGCCTCAAAGGTTTGGATTTGATATCTCCAGCAGTTATAAACAGCTCGGGGTTATTTTTAACAAATTTTGCTGTTTCAAGAATGTATATGCACATGTTTTAAATCTTTCTTTTTAAATTAGTAGCACAAAGGTAACCGAGGTATCCAAAATGACGTTTGCCGAATGTACATTGGTACCAATTGACAAACCTTTATTAATCTCTTTCTGACATACATTGAAAAAAAAAAGAAATGTATATATAGCTGTTAGGCAGGCTCCTTCTATGCTTTAGTTATTGTTCTGAGGGGTGGGACTAGTCTGTCTCTGTTATAAACATGTCACTTTTGTAAAATGTCAAACGTCATTTTATGAGTATATTATTACTTTTTTAGCGAAATCTTCAACTTTTGATTAATTACATACATACATATGCTACTAATTACTCTGAGTCTTCAACACACTCCATGACGTCAGAATGTTTGTATAACACAAACGTAATTGAAATCGGTTTACATAATAATGCAGGTGGCTCAGGACCGTGCGTTACTTGGGGGGGGGGGGGGGGGGGGCCTACGTTCAGCAGTGGACTTGTGAAGGACTGTAATGATGATGATGATGATTACATAATAATCTTATGTATAAAGCAGAAATAAATAAAAACGACGCTTTTAAAATGTTTACATACCGAATTAAAAATAGTAACAATTTTGCAAAATATAAAAGCGTGTCATTTCTGTTACTTATTCCCGCATTCACTTCGCCGCATTCCAGTATTTACAGACATAGTTTTTCAACGACGTACTCGTATGCTAAGTGGTACTGTCGAAATAGAGTTGACGCGCGCTTTGACATAATAAATGTGATATTTATCTGGTTTATTTTTCATATTTTTTGAACGCGATATATTTTGTACGCTGTGTACGTTATGTACAGTATGATGTATTTTATTTTCACGCCTATAAAGTACCACATGGATTGTCGCTACTGAAGTAAAGTTGCGGAAGAAAATGTTTGTAAGGGAAAAGCGGGGCTCTGCTTTCCTTGTTATACAAATGTTATTCAAACGCTATTGACAAAACTGTATATCGTATGTAACAGGTATAGATAAATGATAACTCTTAAAAAGAAATTATTGTTTAATTCTATTTTTTTTTATAGGCAGATCTGTACCTTCTTGACGACCCGCTGTCGGCCGTGGACACTCACGTGGGCAAACACCTAATATCCGAGTGCGTCACCGGGCTCCTACAGAACACCACACGCATCCTAGTAACACATCAGCTGCATCATCTTAAGGGAGCCGACAGTGTGGTAATATTACGAAATGTGAGTCCCTAAAATATTATCTATTATTAAATATTGATCAAGCCAGTCAGTTTATAGTTTATACTGTATTAGGAGTAGTTGGTAATTGAATTAGTTCGTTCGTACGGCGCGTTGCGGGTGTGCCATAAGATAGAGACTATTACATCGTTTGATAATGTAGTGTGATTGTAATGTTTACATATATAAAACCATTACAACTACACCGTTATTCCAATATCACAGTTTAAAGATCTAACAGTTGCGAAATGCCTTTGAAGTCAAGGGATGCCGCCGCCCGCGTAGGTATTTACTATTTACGCCGTTGCGTCGTCTCAAAAATGCTAGGGGTTGTCACGAACTTGGGAATAAAATAATTTTGGATATTAACTCATTATCATTTATTAACATTATGTACATACTTGTAAGTTCAAAACATTTACAAGGAAAAATACATTTATAAGTAATTAGTGTCGCAATGTCAATTATTTTTGTGACACTTTCTTTTTGTAGATGTTTTCAATTTCAATTTAATTTATATAATTTAAAAAAAATAGTAATCAAATATTTTTGTGACAGTTTCTTTTTGTAGATGATTTCAATTCCAATTTAATTAATACAATTAAAAAAAATTATATACTTAGTTATTCGCATTCGGATAAACAATTTTATCAAAAAAAGAGACATGTTCGACGTTTGAATTCAACTTTGCATAGTACCTAACTCATAACTATAACAGTAGGTAATTCACCATTATAGTTATAACATTTTTCGAAAACGGCACTTAAATTTAGTTAGGTAAATACTATAAAACACGCTCGCGTCAACCGCATCTAATACAGTAGACTTAGTGGAATGCCTTGGCACAAGGTCGAGCCACCGACAGTCTTCGATTCACTTGAATATTACTAGCTCTCACGCGTATTAGTTACACAGTGTCATAAGTATATAAATACAGCTTTATTTTTATACGTTACAAATTCAAACTAATTTTGAGGATGGAACTTCCTAAAACTATTATAAACACGTTATAAACCCAACGTGGTAAATCTACACTGTGACTAATCATGGCTACAGCACAAATGAGTCGGTTCGATCGGGAAAATATCACGCTATCTGGAATTACCGGCATAGAGTAGCAGGTAAATGCTACTATGTTTTGTATAGTGAGTAGAGAACCGGATACTCTATTCAATGGTAATGAGTCATTCCATAAAGTAAGTCTTCAAGGGTGATAACGAAATTTTGATTCCTAATCGAGGATAAATGTTTACGTTCATCATCCACTTACAGTCAGGTGGACTGTATGCTCTCATCCTTATGCCTAATGTACTTGTGTAGAGCAATGGTGGCGGACCATTGCTCTGCACAAGTACATTCGTTTCCCAACTTTTAGACTCTCTTTGAACTATGCCAGTATATACAGGTCTTCTCACGCTACGTCCCATATTTAACAGAGTTATCAATAACCATACTTTAGTTAGTCGTTACAGAAAGGAGTAGATATAATAGATAGAAGAAGATAGAATAATACTATACTTTTTATATGTATGTTACGCTATATCGTCGTTATTGTTTGTGTTCGTATATAAATAAGAATCGGTTTTAGTGATTCTGTTTTTATTGAATAGGTTATATTATACCCATATATGGAGTGTTTCAACCTCTAAGGGATGAAAAATAAGGGGTAACATTTTCATTAGCTAACAAACATAAGGCAAATCTAAATCCAAGTTGTAGCATGGGCATTAGGCACAGTCAAAAATAAGCAATCAGATATCGGATACGCCTAAACAGAACAATCGTGTTGGTACGGGTAGGGACGCGGGTGGGGAAATTTTGTTTACTTTAAGGGCGGAACGCTCCTGAACCACCGAAAAACCATAACCCCGTTAATACATGTTGGCCAAGTGCGTGCGTGCGAGCGTGCGTGCGTGCGTTGCTCCGCGTGTGCGTATGCGTATGAATGTGCGTGTGCGTGAGCGTGCGCGTGCGCATGTGTGTGTGCTTGTATGTCTGATTGCTTGTATGTCTGATCTGATTTAATACCTTAATCATAAACAATTATTCAAGAGCTTTTTGCATACTTCATTTTTATAAATTTCTTTCTTTTTCATAAAAATATCAATGTTAGCAAAATATTGCTTATAGGTGCGACACATCCGATTTATTTGTGGGTTTTTAGTATATTTTGTATGAAAGTGAGAGATGGAAAACAATTTAGTATGTCTAGTACGATATATGGGCGTGGAGAAGTTGATAAGTCCAATTAAGTGCGAATTATCTAAGCGGTCGTGAATGAGGTCTTACAATGTCTTTTGATCAAGCATTTTTCTTCTATCTGCTAATGAGAGAAATTTATGGTATACACATCTTTGTATGTGTGATGTTGTTCTTTAATTTTATAGTCAATAAACTTCAAAAAAATATTTTGTAATACTTCTATTTTGTTTTATATCTATATTATTTTGTATTAATATAAGTATAATATTGTGGACACCATATGTTGCTACCATACTCTAAGATACTGTGAACGTACGCATAATATAGTAATTTAATATAGGGTAAGTTATTGAAAGGTTGGCATTTGCGTGTTACGAAGCCTAAGTTTTTGTATGCTTTATTTGTGATATAATCAATATGATTCCTAAATGTAACCTTGGAATCAAATAAGATACTAAGATCTCGGACTAACTTGTACATTTTGAATTATTGATCCGTTCAATCTATAAAAATTTTCGACGGGTTTAGTTTTGCGTATAAATATACAATTTTACATTTCTTCACATTGAGTCATTATTTTTGTAATAATGATCCAACCTGTTTAAATCCTCTTGAAGCTTCTAGCAACCATTTAAGTTGTTAATTTTAATGAACATCTTTTTTTCATTTGCATACAGCACGAATGAAGAATATTTAATAAAATTAGGCCTTTCTCTTTCCTACCAGGGCACAATAAATAATAGTGCTACGTACAGAAGTTCCTTTGATGCTGAGAGCTTGCCGACGTTTAATATCCTACATAACTCGCAAGCTAAATAAAACGTTATCGCAGCGCAAGTGCCCGTATTACTTTGCATTTTTGCCCTTCATACGTTACGGTGGTCTTTCCATTGTTACTAAGGGATGTCAATAAAGAGTAACAAAATACATTGCAAAATGTTAACTAAGTTATGTAAAATACCTTTTCTGACTATGATCGACTGACCATATTTTCGCACCTATGTGTGTTCTGCGATGCCTAACGCATGCAACTTGCAAGGTCATTCGCCGGGAATCACGATGCTTGGCTCGGAAGAAAAAGGTAGATAGTGTAAACAACAAATAAACTTGAAATACGATTTCCAACAGAAATTTTATCGTATTCTTTTTAGTTGAAAATTTTGTTAGTAGACAAAATTTTAAATTCAGTGTTTTGTGTTAGTATAACTTAAAATATTTTAAATACAAAAAACAAGTATAGGTACGTAAGTAGTATGTATAAGCATATTTGATTCCTATTTTATTTCGCCATTAATTTTCCACGATTCTTTGCATACGAGAAAATTAACTTAACATGTTATTTATAAGGTAAAAAATAAATACATATATTTTACAAGATAAATTTTACAACCTATGTCACTTGATGTGGTTATATAATAACCATCATATGGTTTATGTATGATATAGCTGTAGTGTTATAAGAAATTTTAGATATGGGGATTATAACAAAACCTTATGACCAAAAGTAAAAATTAAAATATGTTCAATATGTTTTATGTAATTTAAGACCTATGTAGTTTTTTGGCCAAAAAACAATTTTATATTCATTATAAACTGAAAGGATTTTCATTTTATAATGTATCCCTGTAATTGGATTACTTAAAATCTGAATATGATTTTTCAGTGTTAATTTAGATTCGAAAATATTATCTTTATTCAAAAGAAAGTACATAATAAATTCAAAATGTTTTGGATATGTACATTTACCCATAAGAGATAGCTGGACAAAAAATATTAATTTGTCTGTTAAATAAGCAAATGTCCTATATGATTGCAGTGGATTTTAATAAAAAAAATTGACTTTTCATTCATGTGAAGTATTTGTGTTTCCTTCAGGTATGAAAATGTTATAATTTAATTTGTTAAGACCAAGTAACTATTCATACGTTCATATTTACTACCAAAGTGTATATAATATCATTGTTTATAGCGAAATAAAAACGCAATATAAATCTATGTATGAGTCAGAAGGAGAGTCTGTACATTACATATCTGCGTTGCGGTGCTACGAGGGGGTACACGAGGCATTTTTAATTTATTTTTAAGGTAGTCATTTTTCGAATTAACTTTATATTCCATTTAACAGCAATTCTAGAACTTTCCACTTTTTTTTCTGAATCTCATCATCTATGTATATATAATATCATGATATTTACCAATAATTATTTAATATTAAAAAATATTGTATGCATTACTAATGAATACAATATTTTCTGACATACTTAACTAAATATATGTGGGAGGACATGCTTGAGTCACACTCTAATGAACTGGTATCGACCCATTATAAGGTAGTTTTATATACATATATATATATATATATATATATATATATATATATATATATATACCTCTTAAGCTATGTTTACCTCTATTCTTTTTTCATTTATGGTTGGGCTTGGCGCCTGCCACATATTACTTGATGATATCACCTCTGCTGGTATAGAGCAACTGCTGGAGGCTATTGCATGCCTAGTGAGTTGTTACTGATGGAGATAGGCCCCAATAGTTTTAAAGTTTCTGAATGATTGTTTTAGATTAATAAAGATACTTTGATCTTTTTAAGACAAAATTCTGTGACAAATAAGAATTCGCTTGGGTTTCCTTAAGAGCTTTCTTTATAATCATTGCTTAGCTCTGATAGCAGTAATGCTGTTCTTAAAGGGGCCTCTAAATTGTATAAGCCACATAATAGTCTAATGCAGTTATTTACAGCATCATTATTTTCTTTATCAGTCTTCTTGATAAGACCTATACATTTTATGTTGACATTTATGGGCTCAATTTTCACATAACATTCATCTCTGATTTGGCTCTTGTTAAAGTGGTTTACATTTAGAGAATTTGAAAAGCATTTTTTCAATATTTAAGTGAAATAGAATTCAATGCCTCATGTACCCCCTCGTGGCACCGCAAGCCAGATATGTAATATATAGACTCTCGTTTTGTCTCAAACATAGAATTTATATTGCGTTTTTATTTTACTGTGAGCAATAATATTATTCACATTTTAGTAGTGAATATGAACATATGAATATTGAAATAAAATTAAATTCAATGCCTCATGTACCCACTCGTGGCACCACAAGGCGGATATGTAATGTACAGACTCTCGTTCTGTCACATACAAAGATTTACATTGCGTTTTTATTACGCTATAAAAAATGATATTATATACACTTTGGTTGTAAATATGAACTTATGAATATTCATATAAAATGATATTCAATGCCTCGTGTACCTCATTATTGCTTGAATACAAACAAAAAATAAATCGGTTAAGTATTAGCGTACACTTGGACAATTACTTATGTTAATAATTTACTTGCAAAATAAGGTATTTTACACCATGTAAAAAATATATATTTATGATAAATTTTGTAAAAAGTAAACGAGAACTATTGATTACTATTTATAAAATTATAAATTGCATAATAAATTTTATATTTAAATTTTAATAATATTTTTTTTGTCTGTGCCTCAAATCTGCAAAACGCTGTCTGCCATATCAGATGTCGTGACGCCACTGATCCCGCCTAAGGGTATTAGTGTCTTATGTCACTGATTAAGAGAACTAGCTAATGTGCTCCGAAATTGTTCATGTTATCATTACGATTATTGAGTTTTATTCCGAACTTTCTTGAAAAGCCATCATGGAAGACGAATTTGTTAAAGCAGAAAGTACTAATCTACTCGTACCAAGGAGAAATAAATTGATGTTGGCAAAATTTTTTATATGCCATCAAAATTTTTGTTCTGCTGAGTTGAGGAATGTTCAAACATCAGTGTAAGTACCTATTACCTACTTTTATTTATACAAAAATACATACCACGTCAGAGTGTTTTTTATAAAACACTCTGAAGTGGTATGTTGTTGTTTGATAAAACATAGTTTAGTAGCTATTATAGTTTGGTTTATCTATAATTACAATCACTAGAAATCATTAGTTATAATATCTCTATTAGTATTATTAATATCTAAGTTAACGTAATTTATTACAAAATTTGACTTTCGATACCCTTCACCGCACGATATTTTGTTTTGTATATATTACGATAGTTAAATATAAGTCATACTTACATCAAAATGTAAATATGATATAACAAGACAATTTGGTTTTAGGCCTAAGAGATCATGTGCATGCTTTGCACCAATTGACAGATTATGACACAAAAGTAATCTTGACAATTGTATACACTCAAATGGGATCTTTTTAGACCTTGCCAAAGCACTTGATACTATCTCTTGCCCTATACTATTGCAAAAGCTTGAAACACTTGCCGTAATGGGAACTCAACTAGAACTTTTTTCCGATTACCTTAGTGATCGCTCTCAATGTGTTAAAATCAGCGAGTATACAAGTACTTACAAACAGCTCTTATGGAATTTCACAGGGCAGTATCCTGGGGCCTACATTGTTCCTAATTTATATAAATGACTTATGCAATTTCCAACTTCAAAATGGTGTCATAATGTCATATGCAGATGACGCAGCCCAGATGTTCTCAGCTAAATCACGTGATGAGGTTTTTAAATACGCTCAGCAAGCCTTTAATATAGTATCTAAATTATTAACAATCTCCTAAATTTAAACGCAGATAAAACACAATATGTTATTTTTAATGAGAAACAGTAACATACCTACTCACCTAAATATTTACGCTCATAACTGTGACTCGTATGATGACGCTGCATGTTCATGCCCCGCATTAAGAAAAACAGATATAAAATATCTAGGTATAACCCTTGATACAAAATAAAATTTCCGCAAGCACATTGATTTACTTTGTGCTAGAGTTCGTAAATAAATATACATTTTAAATATCTCCGTAACATCGCTGACTTTAAATTGATAAGACAGGCCTTTTCATTTGGCTTTGTGTCATTCCATACTCACTTATGTCATTTCTTCCTGGGGTGGTGCTTCTAAAACAATTATAATCCCACTATAACATGCTCAAAGAGCAGTTCTAAAGGTAGCCACTCTGCGTTCTTTCATGTTTCCTACACACCTACTCTACTTGGCATGTAGTGTACTCACTGTCCGTCAGTTGTTTATTCTGAACATCATATTAAAACAGCATACCGAACTTCCATTTAATTTAAAATTTATAGACAGGAGAAGAATGGACTTAGTTTGTGTAAACCCTCAAACCAAACACGCCTTTGTAAACAGATTTTACATATTTTTAGAACCATTTCTATATAACAAGCTCAACAAGTAACTAAAGATATATAGTGTAAGTTATAAGAAACGTAATAAAATTGTAAGGGAATTTCTGAATAACCTAAATTACGAAGACACAGAGACGTTGTTAGAAAATCTAAAATAGTTTTGTATTAATTGTAGGTTACAAATAATTGTTATTTAGTTATTTTATTTATTATATAATATAGTTTAATTATTTGAATTGTCTTGTATATAGGACATATTATAAAACCCATAGTGTAAGTGATGGTCTGAAATACAGTTACTCAACCTAGTTCAGACAGGTAGCTAATATTATAAACTTGAGTTTTCAATTTTTTCTTTTGTAGATTCTACATTATTAAGCTGCACATAGTTTTCATTGTTATTATTGCATGTTATTTTTATAAGACTTATTGTTACTTTCTTTGATTGTAATCTTATTTGTTTATCTATGTAAACATGTGTTTAAAAATGAAATAAAAATATTATTTTTATTATTATTCCTCGGTCGAGTCGACCTATTCATGCTACAACCAAATTATAGCTGCGTTGTGGCTCTACCACGCGTTAATACGTACCACGTTAAAGTGTACATACTTTCTTAAATAAATTAACAAAAATCACGATTTTAACTGTGTTTGACTACAACATCTAAATATATACTAACACTTTAAAAGGATAAGATTCAAGATTTATTATGATAGTAGTTGAATTAAATATATTTATTTTAGGGAGAAATTGAAACTCAAGGCACGTTTGAAGAAGTGTCCCGCTCGCCGTTGTTCGAAGAACTGCTAGAAGAAGATGAACAGCCTGAGCCTGAAGGGTGCACACAACTTGTGCGGACTATGTCTATAAAGGTATAACAAATTTCTTAACGAACTTTTGTACCTGTTTCGGTTTCTTTATGTATCATTTTGGTTTAACTAAGTAAAATTAAATTTGAAAGCCACACAAATAAAATTAAAAGTAAACCTGCTCCTTTAACTGGGATTATTCGTAGCTTTGTTAAGATGTTATCGCTACAACTGACTGTTTCGTTGCTCTAGTGGTCGACTGCTGATCATGAGGTCCCGGGTCAGAATCCCAGGTCTGGCCAAAATTCAAGTCAGTTATTTGAGTTTTCCCGTCAAGAAATTCTAAGAGTCAGGAAGTTGGCGGCGTCTCACACCCGTGCCTCGGAAAGCAAGTAAAGCCGTTGGTCCTGCGCTGATATTTCTATGGTCGTATCGCTTACCGTCTTGTCGGGCTATGAGAGAGGGAATAGAGTGCACCTGGGCTTGCGCATACATTTGGGCACTATAATCCTATCCTGCGCTCCTATAGCTAGTCTCCGTTGAGGCTGGCTGCCGTAACCGAAATTTGATCTGGAGGACATTATTATTACCACATCTAGTGTCGTATACAGTGTACAGTATATTATCCCCTGGTAAAGCCATTCATAAACTATCTAATCTAAGTTTTGAACACTGCAATGAAAAATAACTTAGCACCCTTTAAGATGTACCTTTCTTGAAATTTAATTACAAAAAAAAAATACTTTTCAAAAATTTCGGGTGTTCAATTATGAGTAGTCGGGCACAGCAGTATTTGCACGGCAAAGCATTTAGAGCATAGAAAACATACAACTTTAATAGGTAGTTTATTGATAGACCATTTTTAATTTTAGAAATGCTGTAGTCCAGTAATTTTCAAATTTTATATCAAAAAGTTTCGTCAAACACTACAAAAATTAGGTATTTATCGGTATTCTGCCGATTGCGATTGAATTATTTTTTGGACATTTTATAGACTAGGTACATGGCGTCTTCGCGTACCTACCTATGTACTAAATTACTATATAACTGGAATTTACCAAGAGGTAACAAATATAAATACCATTCAATTATGACGAGAACATGGCGCGATGCTAGTTTAGAGAGTAACAGCGGAAGAGGGATTTCGAACTCTAAGCTCTTTAACGATTTTGGTTAAGAAAGTTTGTTCTGGAAAAGCATCCGATAAAACACGTCACAAAAATAAGTTAAATTAAAACAAGTTAACAAAAAAATGGTATTGGATACATGTGAACAGCATTTTTCGTCTGCTCCGACATCGACAAATGAGAAAGGACCGTAATATGACGTCTGACGTCCGTGTTTGTCGTCCGTCTTTATGTCACAAACGAGAAGGTAAAACTAAATAAAAATAAATGTGTGTGGCAATTTTAATATACTGATAAAATAAGAACAGTTGTTTTAAGACCAGCGATATCGTTTCTGTCACCGATAATATTATTCGTTTCTATAAAATTTTGTAACTGACTCTTCTTTTTTATGCAGTCGCACACCAGTGTCGATAGTACGGTTGCAGAATACGGCAATGAAAATGAGGAGGAACCCGAGGAAACCGCCGAGCTCATGGAAAAAGGTAGATACCGACTCAATGACACACATTTATTACAAGATACCATGGTTTCAAAATATTTAACTTAATTATCTACCTTGTGGTAATTTTAAAATATCACCTGCAAAGAAAGTTAAAAAAAAAGAAAAAGAAAGTTAAAAGTGTTTAGAAAGTTATCAATTACTAATTTTTTGACGAAACTGTATTTTTGTACAACAATTATTCACATAATCATGACATGAACTAAATGGTGGGCTGGGTTAAAATGCATGCTATCTCAGCCGACATCACTTGCGAAAAGGATAGACGCTGTGATGAGCAATAAGAAGCTAGTGCACACACACTTACGCACTCCTGAGTGACGCAATGCGCGATGGCGTCTTCGCGTACCTTCCTATGCGATTCTTTGAATGACAACATAAACTCAAATGGCAATGGAGAGCTCCGTGGCGCAGTGGCTTAGCAATGAGTGGCTGCGTTGGGGGCCGCGGGTTCGAATCCCGCACGGAACAAGGATTTGTATGGCCTACAAATAATTGTTCCGTGTCTGGATGTTTGTCCTTGTGCAATTTATGTTTGTAAACTGCCTCCACGATACAGGAGAAAATCCTACTGTGGGGGTAACGTATTTTAAAAAGAGAAAAGAGAAGAAACAAATTGGTATTATTAGAACTTAGGATCTGCTGTGTGAAATGTAATTATTATGAACCCAATTTAGTTGTTATTATGAAAGTTCTTATGTGGATTTAAGTAGATGTTATTTTTATATCACAATTTCATTGATTTGTTTTACCTACTTTTTAACCGACTTTGAAAAAAGGAGGTGGTTCTCAATTCGTTGTTTTTTGGTTATGTATGTTCTGTTCCCCGATTTCTCGAAGATGTCTGAACCGATTTGGCACATTATTTTTGGTTTGAAAGAATATACTTACCAGATGATCCCATGGTAATCGATGATGATCAGGTCTGGATCTGATGATGGGATCTTGGAGAAATCGAAGTAACTCTTCAATAAATGACAGCAAATCAACCGCAATAGCTGCTATCGCGTATATTTGCATTCTTTGCGCAATCACACAGTATAATATCACGCCTAAACCCACTAAAGGGACATAACTCTCAAATAAAAATGGTGACATAAAAAACTTTTTTTGAAAAAAATGTAACCGACTTCTAAAACAAACAGAAAAAAGTGTAAAATAATTATGTTTTCTTTATGTTTTTGTATTTTATTGTAGGTTATGCAAATATTACTGTAGGTACTATGTATTCTAAATAGGTATTTACTTACCATAGCTAATTAGCTATAATAGCCCACAGGCAACTCCACGAAGTAGGTATATGCCAGCCAGTGTCAGGACAACTGCTTTTTCGACTGCGCGATTTTGATGTGATTGGGGCTTTTATGTAGGTTAACTAAATAAATAATTGTTATACTATTTACATTCACTTAGAATTAGTGGGAGATCTTACCTCAGATGCCTTCATCGGACCCTTCAGAAGGTTCGTAGCTAGACGTGGAAGATGCGCTCACGTCTGGAGTGACCAAGGACGTAATTTTGTTGGGGCGAACAGGATACTAGCTGCAGAATGGGCTGAAACCAAACTTAAATTCGACGGTCCAATTGCTGAGATGCTAGCAATGGATGGAACTGAGTGGCATTTCATTCCCGCCTATAGCCCACACGTGGGTGGACTGTGGGAAGCCGGAATCAAATCGATGAAAAATCATTTGAAACGAATAATGACCTCTCACGTAACGTACGAAGAGATGAGCACCTTGTTATGTCAAATTGAAGCTTGCCTCAACTCACGACCGCTTAACATATTAAGAGACACGGACACAGACAACATCCAACCGTTAACGCCTGGCCATTTCCTTGTCGGTGAGACACCTATTACGGTTCCGACACCAGACTTCCAAAACATCCCAACACACAAGTCACTTATCAAGATGGCAGTACCAACAAAGATTGTTGATGGACTTTTGGCGTCGATGGCAACAAGAATACCTGTTGAGAATGCAACAGTGTCCGAAATGGCAAAGGAAGGTCAAGGAATTTGACATAGGTCACATTGTCCTCACAAAATCAGCTAGTTTGCCCCCAGGTAAATGGATGATGGGACGCATTGTAAAAAAACATCCGGGTTCTGACGGTGTCACTCGTGTATACAGTGTAAAAAGTGGTGCTAGTGTCGTGCAAAGATCTGTAAATAAGCTGTGTTACTTACCAATAGACATTGAATGTTGATTTATTTTACTTATAACAAATAAAAATTGTGTTTATCTATATTTTATATGTTTAATTGTGTACAGACTTTTTTGTCTTTATTTTTTATTTTGTGTTATCTTTAAATCTATTGTAATCAAAACGTTGTAACGTGTAATAATCAAAATGTTGTTAAATGGCTCATAGACCCTTTGGTGGGCGGTATGTTCGGATATAATGATCTATATGAGTGTAAGAGTGAGCGTAACTGTGAATACGTATGCATGTGTGAATAGGTTCAATATTTAAAGGCATAATTTGTAAAACAGTCGCAAATAAATCATCACGTAGTAAACACGTCTTTCTGTGAGCACAAACTCTTACAACCCAAAGTGAACCCTAACACCTATTACAACAGGGAATCCCGTTTTGTCCGCAAAACTTCAAAAGGAAAACTACCGTAGGTGTGTGACACGTCATTGGTTTTATATGGACTTGGTGCGTTCGGAATCCCGAATCGGAATTCCGAAACGAAATTCCGTATATATGTGGCGGGCCTATATTAAAAAAAAGTTACAACATACACTAAAAGTAATACACGATTATTACGAGTTTAGAGTTTGTGACAATAAAAACTGCCGATTGAATTAAAATTGACATTTCAATTACAGAACACCAATTACAACTTAAAATACACTAGTAGTAAAACACAGTTGTATCGCTTCGAAGTATTCGCTTGCTCGCCAATTCAATACTAACTCGGTCGTGGTCTTACCAGCCAGGCCTCTTCTACGGAAACATCTAGAATGTTAGAGTACATACCGATCCCGACTGACTAGGTGTAGAACGTTTTAGTATGGAATTTTCTAGAAAGATCTTGACGCTTCTAGTTCTGCTACTCGATTCTAGATGGCCCTATTGATAACCCGTCATGTAAAAGTAAAGTAAAGTCTAAAGTGAGAGCCTATATACGTCCCACTGTTGGGCACAGGCCTCCCCTCATTTCTGAGAGGGTTTTAGGGCAAGGAAGTGTCCGCCGCGCTGCCCCGATGCGTTTTGACGAACTTCACATGTTTTCGAAATATTTTTTTCCTTATTCCTCAGACATGCAGGTTTCCTCACGATGTTTTCCTTCACCGCCGAGCATGTGGTAGATCAGCGCTTAAAATTGCAATTAACAATTTCATTAGTGCCGGCGTGGATCGAACCCGGGTTACTCGCGTTCTGTTATATTTACAGCGAGTGTTAACCATCTGAGCTACCACGGCTCCCGTCATGTACCAGGCATTAATTATGGCACGCAACACAGCCCCCTCCTGAGACATGTTTGTCCCGAGTATTATCGGCCCCATCACACGCCATTTGATCCACATGGACTATCTTAGATTTGTGCTGATCTCTTGCACTTTCTGCATCCAATAGGCTACGTAATTGATCCTGGTCACAATCTGATACGGTCCGTCCCATTCATCTTGAAGCTTAGGAGATTTCCCTTTGCTGCGGACTGAATTGTGCAACCACACTGTGAACCTTCGTCGAACCCTTTGTTGTTCATTTTGCGGTCATACCGGGTTTTCTCATCTTTTCAGGCGCTGACCCGGTCTGACGTGCTCATAAATGTCATTCATTTTGTTATATATCGTATGTATATAATACAAGGGTGACACTAAAAGTTCTTAGAAAATCAAAAACTGAACCAACTAGCAAGTTATTAGTTTTATTATATCTTTTCAAAATAGTGTCCATTTACATCAATATATCGCTGCATCCGATGGAACCAATAAGAAAAACACTTTTTCCACTCGTCCTTAGGGGTCTCTTCAACATCATTTTGAAACTTAGCCACTGCTTCCTCGGCGTCAATAAAACGTTTTCCTCGAAATTTTTCTTTTATGTTCGGAAATAAAAAAAAATCGCAAGGTGCGCGGTAGGGTCTATAGGGCAGGTAACCTAGTAAGTTAAGTAACCTAGTTCCACGTCTGAAGTCGCCATGTAGTCGATTGTTTGCTTGGCGGTGTGTGACGAGGCGTTGTCGTGGTGAAGGAGGATCCTAATGCGAGGTCGTTTTTCTTTTTGCAAGACAAGTGGCAAAAAATTGTTAGTGTACCACTCTGCAGTTACTGTTTTTCGATCCTATAAAACAATTGTTGCTTAATGACTTGTTCTCATTTCTCAGCTCACGCCATTTTGCAAAAAAACAACTTACTGCGCTTTAAAAGGGTGTCATAACTCATCACATAATCATGAAAAAAAATCTAAAAATCTCTTTTCACCGGTAATTGCTGCCTAGCATCTTATATTTTTATAAAAAACATTCATCAAAACAAAATAATAAATCTTAAATTTGACAGACGCCAATATAATGAGAATGTTGCTAGGCATAGTAAAATATTTTACCCCATATTTTCTTATTATTATAGTTACATACTGCCAATTTGGGACTATTATTGTTGTATTTTTATTTGGCAAATAAAAATACCTACAATATTCACGTATGAGTAGGTATTTTTAATTGCCAAATACTATTAGGGTTCCCACTTGCCAAGAAAAAATGTGTTGATTTTATTTTGTTTTGTTAATGTGCAGTTATTTTATCTTTTTTATATTATGTGTTTTAGGATAAATACCCTATGAACATTTTTTAAAGCTAATAATAATTTACATACCTTCGCTATTTCCTAAAACGACGATACGTTTTGCCACTAGCCAACAGTGGTGTATTAAATTATGGTAAAGACAGTAGTTAACGTTTAGCCAAAATAGCACAAAAATATTTATTTTGTTTTAATGAAGCGAAGTTGATAATAACGTGAA